TTTTTGCTCAATTTTGCCCCCCCCCGCCCCCCCCAGGAGCACTCTATAAGCTTCCTAATGCTCTTTCTTTGACAAAAAATGGGCTGTTTTTTGCTCATTTTTGGCCCCCACATCCCCAGGAGCACTCTACAAGTCTCCTAAGGACTATTCATGGTCTTTTCTGGAGAAAAAAAACAGGCCCATTTTCACGAAAAACAGAGCATTTTTGGGAAGTTTGCAGAGGTGCAAAAACTTTTTAAAAAAATTTGCCTCTTCAAAACCTTGGTGCATCTTATACTCCGATGCATCTTATACTCCAAAAAATATGGTAGTTAATTTAAGTGACAACTATAAGTAGGAATATTTGTTATTTTATATAAAGCTTGTAGTTTTGCCCCATATTTTAAATCAAGGACTATAGAAAATCTCAATCCTTTCACTAATAAGATAAGGTCTTTGGTATATTTTAATATATTTTTATTTTAATATTTTATTGTAATGCATGAACTGATATTGTAATATTGCAAGCCACAATGACTAGGCATTATAAGGGTTGACCAACATTTTAATGTAGTACATTTACAAATTTAATTAACATTTTAAATTTTCTATCTCCTTCACTGAAACCACAGTTATTCATCTTCTCCATTGAAAGAGAAGGATTTTAGCTAAAACCTGAATGACAACAAAAACAACAATCAAATATGAGGGACAGAGGCAGATTCCCAAGCTCTTTAGAAAACTACATTATACAATCTTGCTATGGTTTGGCCTTATTAAAGAAAAAGCACCTATGCTGGCTAGCTATATTGGCCACTGCCATCACTAATGTACCTTACCTGCATTTGCACATAATTTATAAATATAAATTCAGAGTATTTTTAATTTTGGGTTAAAGTTATGCAAAAATGATAGTTTTTAGCATTAGATTGTTTCCCGGGATATAAAAGAAAGGAAAGTTAAAGACTTAAGACAGAATGCATCTTTGACTGAAATTCTAGGAAGAGTTATGGAGGTTTCCTCTAGCTTACCTTGTACCATGATAAAAATATGAGCAGTCTCACATTATTTTATGCAAAGTGATTCCATTGTATTCAGTTGGGCTTGACTTCAAATCAGTGTTTATAGGATCTGATTTATTGCTGGCAATGTTTATTAGGACATATAAAACATAACAACTTAATGTGTATTTGGTATGTAAATGTGTATTTGGCATGTAAAATTCCATGCCATAGTTGGTTTGTAATATTGCACTTGTTTTCAACATAATTGAAACATACAGTCTTCTGCCCAAAGACTTTTTAATACATTTAAAGTGTTAAAAAAGAAATAAAAATCTAAAGAAAGAAGCAAATATCCAATATCCATAATCAATTAGTTTTTCCCTCACACAGATTTCCAGCAAACAGACATCTTGTAAAAATGCCAAATGGGAAAATAATTTTAATTAGATAAATATAACAGATTTTACACATTTAACCTAAGTGTTGATTTGCTCACACCTTACATTTCCTTCTAATTTGCCTATATTAGTCAAAACACGGTGCTTGGTTATGTGCATCTCTTTTACATGATCTCATACTTTCTTTTAAAAATACTTCACTTAAGAAAACATGTATTATAAATTTTGAAAATAATTTGCATATACATAAAGGCAAGGAGACCTGAGCTGCATCTTACATTTAGTGCATCTTTTTGGTCCTTTAAAAAAGAAATATGACCAACTTACTGATAGCTTTGCCTTCCATAAACACTCCACTCGACCCTCCATACATATACACACATTGACACACACACACAGGGGTGGGAGAGAGAGGGGCAGAGACAAAGAGAGACAGAAAGTATGAGATGTAGTTTTTCACTGCAACGTGTGATAGTACAAGTAGTGCTTATGCAGCATGTATAAAAATATATCCTATTGTTTCCTGAGTCTCCTACCATTTAGCTTTTATTGTATGATCCTATTTTTATTGAAAGATGGAAAACTTTCTTTTTCCATTTCTCTGCATCACATTTTATATCTTTTCATCCCTGTTTTCATTATTCACCCTTTTTTGCCTATCTTTTTATGCCCTGGCCCCTGGTCTAATGCTTTTCTAGAAGTACAATATATAGATGATTGCATCAGTGAAACCAGGACAGTCAATTCTGAACTGAGCCTAAAGCCATACACATAAGCTCTTTGTCGGGGCTGTCACTAAGAAAGAAATGCTTGCGTATTTTGTATTTGAGAGGCCAAATACTGTATCTTAGGTTATCTTTGAATTGATTAATATTCCATGAATTATCCAATGGGATATTCATTTTCTCTCTCTTAGCCCTGAACATACTCATGATTCTAATGTTTACACTAAGGTATAAATCTACCATCCTAGGCTCCTTTTGTGAAAAGCACTTGAGACTTACATTTTCCCTCACACACTGGGATAGGCTGATATTGACAGAGGACTTACTGATGGCTGCATATGTGAAAGTTTACTTTTGGTGCCAGGTTTTAATGTTTGTGGTTTTAATAGATATATGTATGTATTAATGGTATATCGATATTCCTTTAACTGCTCTTTGGGAGCTGTCCAAAGTTCAATATAAGATGTGCAGCTACATAAATATTTTAAATAAATAAATATATAATGCTCCCAATTATAATTTTTGTTCTGATACATGGTTTTCTAACCATGTTTATTTGTAGACAAAGTTATGGGTCCAGATCTGCATTTCTAATCATGATAGCTCATCACTCAGAATATTCCTCCATTTCAAAATATCTCTTTTATGAACTATATATTTAAAAAATCTTCATATGAATAAATAGGCCATAAGGCATTACTTCAAAATCACGTGTCTTTCAATTTCTACCACTTAGTCACAGAGCATGGAGATCTCTGGAAAAAGCCTGTATAGAGACATTAATAGACTTCCCATGGATAACATCCTTCCACTCATAATTCATGAAAGTGACTTCTCTGGCAATTCATTTTAATTTACCTCTGAAAATTAGATGCTGTGCCAAAAGAAAATTTAAGTTTAAAACTTTTCAGGAAAGAAAAGATAGCTTCCTAAATAATTAGAAGGTTAATGAAAGATAAGGGCATAAGGGAGGAGCAGAGTTTTTGGTAAGAGACGATAAGCAATAAGAAATTGTAAGAAATATTCATTTAGAGTTTAGTAATGCAGAAGAAAGAGCTGGTACTTAATCAGGAATTACATAAGTGTTTGTGTATATGTGCAGGGTTTTACTGTTCCTAAAATTTTGGTATTGCTGCTAGGTTGACATGACATTTTGGTGCTTCTATTTCTTTTCCCCAAATCCAAAAAGAAGTTGGAAGATAATTTGTGATTACATTCAAAGTAATACAAGGACAAAATTCAAAAAAAATAATTGGCCTGCTCTCAGCTACTTCAACTCTTAGAGACACACAAAAAAAATCATCTTCATTTAGCACCAAAAAGATATAAAATAGTTTATATTCCCCAATCCCTCCTGCACATATATTGCTATTCAAATATATTTCATTTGATTTCTAATAATAATTCCAAGCCATTCCTATAAAGAGGAGCTGCAAAGTCACCAAGTTACATTTTCGCCAGGGCAGCTAAAGCTCCTGAACTAGTGCAGAGTGCTCCAGTGAGTTTACCCTGAGGCAACAGTCGAAGTGCTGCAATTCAATAGTATTCAAGGTCATCTTTAAGAGAATCAGGTCCATAAGTTCCCCAGATATATACTGGGTGCTGCAACATCATTCCTGGAAGGTGGAGGAAAGAAAAAACACTTGGATTTAGAAACCAAGAGTGATTACTGATTTATGGTGGATAATTTTCTGAAGTGGTTTACATGCATGGTAGAAATGAAGAATTCTCAACCAGATGTTAAGACTTAATTTATTAGGGACATGGAAAGAAATCACAGATGATAAAAGTTTATTAGAAGGAGCAAGTTTATAATTATTTACAAACCCCATAATGTAAGGGGAGGAGAATTTATCAATTTTTTAAAAAATATTCTTTTCAGCATCCAGCCAGGTTGGATTTTTTTCCTGTTTTATGTTGTACTTATCTGATATTTGGGTCATTCTCCTCCCCCACCCACCCCTACACATTTTTGTTGTTACTGTTGTTAATGTTTTTTCTGTGTTTTTTTTCCTGTTTTGTCTTTTATTCCATTGATAAAACATTATATATAACATTATATTAAAAAAGAAAGAGCAAGAGCAGGTAGCCCAGTTTCTGAACTAAGAACTTCGGCGGGACATATACAAGGCGCCGTGTATTGCTCGGAGTCAGCACAGCCGGCCAGGGTTAGCCAGGCCTCGAGGGGAGAACCATAGGAGAAACTCCGCACGAAGTCCAGGTCTCTTGTGCCCAGCACCCCAGCTCCCTCCCCGCCAAATCCAGGCGGGAACGAGAGGTACCGGCCCTCCTCCACTCTCAACACCTCAGGAACAGTTTCACCTGTCGCTTGTGTTCCCCACAGCTGCGGCTCGCTTAGCGCTCCAGCGTGCGCCCACAGTTGGGTCTCGTCGCCAGCTGCCGCTACAGTAGAAGCAGCAGAGCGGCGTCGAGGGGCCGTGGGGGGCGGGGAATGCTGACGGTGATTCCCGCTGGAGAGGAAAGAGGCGGAGGTGGGCGCGAGTGGGACAAAGCGTGCGGGGAAAACGGCGCGTGGGTACCCTCGCGGGAATCCATGGACGCCGTCCCCGGCTGGCAGAACTCTCCTCGGGGGAAAAGGAGGAGGGCGAGGAGGAGAAACCCCTCGGAGCCCCGCGGCCGTGTCTCGCCGGTGCCTTGAGAGCATATCTGAAGCTCGGCGCGGTGAGGCAGGCGGCCGGGTGGGGTCCCTGTCCGAGCGGGGGCGCGCGAGCGCGAAGAGGGGGTGGGTGGGGGAGGAGAAGCCCTCCCCCGCCTCTCCTCAGGAGCTTCGCGGCGCTACCGGCAGGGGGGACGTGCCGGAGGAGGGGAAAGGGGACGCTCGCCTCCGCCTCCGCCTCTTCCTCAGCGGCTCTCGGGCAGCCGGAACCGCACGCGGCGGCGGCGGCGGCTGCAGCGGCGGCGGCAAGGGAGCCGGGAGCGGAGGGATGTGGGGCTTTGGGGGAGGCAGGCTCTTCGGCTTCTTCTCCGCTCCCGTCCTGGTGGCCGTGGTCTGTTGCGCCCAGAGGTAGGAGCAGCGGCTGGAGGGGAGGAGGGAGGGGAAGCAAGGAAGACTGCGCCTCGCTGAGGAAAAGAACTGACCAGAGCTTTCCTCACCCCTCCTGCTTCGCTCTCTCTGCCTCCCTTCGACTTCTTTTTCCTCGCCTTCTCTTGTCCCGGCCGCTCTCTTTGGCCCATCCCGTTACTTCACTTTCCTTATCCCTCTCTGCCATCTCTTTTGACTTCTCTGATCTCCTCGCTTCATGTCCGCCTCTCCTGCCTCCCTGCCCGCTTTCCCTCAAACTCCTTCTTCCACAGTGTGAACGATCCGGGGAACATGTCCTTCGTGAAAGAAACAGTGGATAAATTGTTGAAAGGCTACGACATTCGCCTCAGACCGGATTTTGGAGGTGAGAGGCCCTGGGGAGGCTCCCCTAAACCCTCCCTTAGGTGTTCTGGGTGTGAGTTAAACGGGTTGGGGGTGGGAGTTCTGCCGATGAAGACGAAAGCCCCCCTCCCCCAAATCCCTCAGCGCCAGGCAACCGTATGTCAAAATGACGCCGCCGTCTGTTTCTTCATTAAGGCCCCCCTGTGAATGTCGGGATGAACATAGATATTGCCAGTATCGACATGGTCTCTGAAGTCAACATGGTGAGTAGACCTCTAGTTATTTCCACCAGGAAATGAGAAAGTGTTGCCTTCAAATAGATGGGTTTTTACCCGATTTTGAATTTTGTCTTGGTAACCCAAGTGCAGAATCCTTTTTAAAAAAATTTGAGGGGGTTGAAACAGTTGAAGAAGGGGTCCTTTAGATAAAGAGCCCCAGATAAAGAGCTTTTGGCAAAACACTTCCATCTCTTGCATCTCCTTCAGTGACTGGAAAGTTTGTGCATGAGTCTAAAGCAAACCAGGTCAGTAGATAACTTGAGGTTTAACTGGTGGTCCCTTGACTGCAATCTAGTGTACAATCCCCCATGATGGTTTTAGAAGCTATATTTCCTCTGCTGAGACAGACCTTTTCTTGATTTGGGAAGTTATAATGCAGCAAAATCAAGTATAATGGCTGGCTTGGGTGTGCCATATGCAGTTAGCTTTTGGATGGCAGCAGAGTGGACTGCATGCTGAAACTACTGGAGGGAATATAGCCAGATTTTAGAGTGCTGTCTCAGGTGCTGAAAAGGAACTTCAGTTGCTTAGTTGCATCTGTCGTCCTCACTGTTCGTTGGGCTTGCAGATGTCATTACAGATAGAGTTCTACTGCTTGTATTGATATGAAAGCTTTGAATAAAAAGCCAGTCTCCCCTCAATGAAGATTGCTAGCATACAGTTAACCAGGTTAGCAATTTAAGTGTATTTCATCTTCATTTTGTCATGTACATAAGAATATACATGCCTATTCCAAAGCAAGTTGCAGTGATTTCAATAGGTCTTTAGTGTTGGATAAGTTTTAATCACTTATTTGAAACAATAATTGTATTAGAAGATTTATTTTACTAACAACAAGGAACATTTTTCTAAGTGTGTGTGTGAGTGTGTGTAGGGGGAAATGGTATAAGCATTAAAAAAAAGTCTATTAACTGTACTGTACACTCTTAAGGTACAACTTTAAATTGTTAATAGTCTAAACTGGTTTAAAAAATAGAATATTTATATTAAAAATCATAAGGTTTAACTATATAAAACACAATATACATTTTATTTTGTTTACTTTACTTTTGTTTAATTCTTATTTTATATAGTTATTTTTAATAGCAGGGATACTACGTAGTTCCCAGTGCTTGAAATAATATAAGTAGAAATAAGATACATAAATGTTTTCTCTTTCACATGCATAATTTTCAAAAATAAAAGAAATAACTATTCAGAAATTTGTCAATTTAAAATTCTTCAAGAAACATAATGGACAGTCTGTTATAAAGCGGGATTAAATTAACACATTTTTCTATTACTTAACATTTATATAAATCATATTTATAGTATTTGTTGTTGATGATTGATTCTCTGCTCCAAAAGTATACACTACATTTTAAAATTTGTCTGAAAACTTAAAGAAACATGCTAAACCATGTCAGTCCATTAATGGCTACTAAGTAAAGAAAGGCAGATGATTGATGTACTTTTTAAGACCTTAAATGATTTGTGACCTTAAGAGTCTGAAGTCTAATAACAAAGTTTAAATTTCTATGTCTCCATGATTCTTAATGACATATTACATGGGCATTAGAAAAAGATGGCTTTTTTTCTTAATTTAACTGAAAGTGACTTTTAATAAGAGATCAAGACATAGTTTTTTTCTGGCTGAAAAAGAAAACTACTTAACCAAATTTATTTTGGAATAGGGACCATTTTAAATGGGATGGGGTAAACACTAGGAACCAGAAACACTCAATTGTTCTTCCTGTCCCTCTACTTATTATTCCTTTGCAAGAATGCCTATTCCGCTAATTTTAATGGAGTTATTTCTACAAATATTTATAAACAACAACCTAAAGTTCTTGCTTATTTTGTTTTATTCTTCACAAAAGGTTAGTGTATATTTTAAGTTATAGTACTTTAAAATATTGGGAAAGCATATATTGAAATATCCATTTCAGTGATATTGGAGTATATAAAACATTATGCTACAATTCAAATTTTTAAAAAGGAATTTATACTTTTATCTGCTTTCATTAGCAGAGAATAACACCATTTTAGCACACATTTTACTACATTATATTTATTATGATAATGCAACTCAGAAGTAAAAAAGCAATTAAGGGAAAGAAAATAGTTAACAGTAGGAGAAGTACTTTGATTTTCCTAACAATAACAAACCTTGCATGAAAAAGCTTTCCCAAAAGTTTTTCACCCTAGGTTCTGGAGACATCTAGATAAAGAATTAAAGCCTGCTGAGGAATTAGGCAAAAACTGATGGGTAGCAAAGTTATGTTTTCTTCTTCTGCTGGCTCTTGTTGGTGGTTGGTGCTACCAACCCTCTGATTAACCGTATGACATTCTGTGTCTCCTTTTCCTAGTTCCATTAGCAAATTTAAAAGGTTTTTTTAAAAATCTAAATATAATAGTTCTATGAAACAGAAGATGAAAATATTGTACATTTTCACTTTACGGATAAATATACAGCTTTCATTAGATCGAGTTTCATTTTCTCTTAAGATATTTGATCCTTGATTCAAAGTTGTTGGAAAATTTACTGGCAATGGAAAGACTAAGAATGAATTGTAACAAGCTCTGGCTAATACATCATCTGTGTTTCCTTTTTAAATTTATTCTTTTGATTGGCTGTAATCAGTTATGTATTAGCAGTATCCAGATTCAGCATGGAGGGACTGACCCTGTAATGATATCCTGATCTGAAATGTTAGTGGATCAAAAATAATATAGCTTGAGTATTCTCTGAGGATGGCTGATAAAAAAAAAACATGTATTGCAAACGACTTACAGTATATGTGTGTGTGTGTGTGAGAGAGAGAGAAAATGTGTGTGTGTGTGTGTGTGTATGTGTGTATGTGTGTGTAATTTTATATATTATATCCTTGGAAAATGTATGTTTTGTTTTCTCTCTTAATTGCTCCAGAGTGCTTATTTTTACCTTTATTAGCTGTTGTTAGCTACTTTACATTAAAAATGCTGAATGGGAAAATAATAATTACAATAGTGATAGATGTTCTAAGGAAAAAAAAGATAATTAGTAAGACTTTACTTAAATCTACAAACCAGGTTATGGTAATCCATCTGTGATGATGGGTATAATGATATTAAAGTCACTCTGTTACTAAGATATTTTTTCATCTTCCACATTCCCAGGCTCATGTTGTTTTTGCAGTGGTCCGTCCAATATGTATTTGTACAAAACCCCTAATATCTGGCTCCCTTTAAATATATCAGCTTTTTATTCCACCTAGGGCCATGATTCTTATATTTCTACTGAAAAACTAAAGAAGACGATTAATCAAAGAGTGCTCAATACATTGGAAAATACTACATGAAAGATAAAGATGTACAAATATGTTTTCAAGGCTTCTGTTTCAATTCTACTTTGACCCATAGTTTGTTGATATAATCTCTAAAATGCTATCATTATGTTGGTTGTCTGTTAGCTTTCTTTTCTTTTTGTTTTATTTTTTTTCAGCACCTCGATTTGTGCCTCTGATACTGTTAGTTTATTATAATTCCTGGTATTCTTGATAATTAGAATGCTGATTGGGGCTCCTGAGAATTGCAGTGGAAGACCATACCTTGTTTATTCTTGGTCTACAAAGTTACACAATAAGAGCATTAAAAGAACTATGCTGAATAAGATCAAAGCCCCCGTTTATGTTCCCATCATGATCAACAAAATACCAATATACCAACAGAACCTGAATAAAATAGCACATTTCCACTCATGTTCTCCTGAAAGTGATATCAAAATATCTGGGGCCCGTTTCTGGAGGCAATATGTAAGTGTTCTGAATTGCAACTATTCATAGCCTCATTTTTTTATAAAGTTGCTTAAATCCAAATATGCCTATGCTGGTTTATATGAAAGATTCTTCAAACTGAAACCAACATGGTGTTGCTGTCATTCCACCATCTGGGAGGGTACATATGGTGTACTGACATACTGTATATTGTTGCCTGGTATACTTTCCTAACTTGCCCCTAGAATCTGTTCCTATTGTATCATGCAATTTATTCTGTATCTTAGAATAAGTACTTATGCCATTCTAACTTTTTTCAGGAGATCAGGGTAACATATATGGGCAGCTCTCTTAAGTTTATCCCTACAATGTCAGCTTGTGAGGATGTGCTATGAGTCACCCAAAGAGTTTGTGTGGCTGAGGTCTTCTCAAGCCTAGTCTTCATCAGATAACTGCTGTTTAATCACATTCATTCATCAAATGTGCCTGGCATTTTGTAGACACCTAATTCATTAAACTAGGCCACATAATAAATGGAAAGTTTAAAATAACCATCTAAAATAATGAATACAAACATGGTAGAAGCACAGAGCATATACTCTAACTAATCTTCCATCAACTTAATTGATCTCTTGACAACTAAAAATACTGATTGAAATTTCCAATGCAAATGGACGCCTGCATTATGTTAGGTAATCAAAATCATTGGCTCAGCTCAAAATGATTGTCAAAAACACAAAAATTGCCATTTAATTTCTAGGCAGAGGATAGGTTAGGCAGAGGCTATCTGGTCTGATACCCTGACTACATTCAGAGCTTTTGAAATGGTCAATTTAATATAGATCTAGAGAAGTATTTGTAAAAATGGAGCAGCATTCTCTTAAAATCTAGCCAAGGAAACGCTAGCATATTTTTTAGCCTTTGAGCACAATTTGTAAGCAAGCTACAGAGCTATGATGAGTGACGTATGTGCTTTTTGACATAAATTGATGCCAGAGTTTTCAAAAATCTGATTTCCAAAAGCCAGAAATATTATTGCTTTCCTACAAAATATAATAAAATTTGCAAAGAAAAAATTGTCCTTGCTAAATTTATATAAAATGTTGCATGGAAGAAAAGCAGTATTTGTAAAGAGTAATTATGTTCTTTATATATTCAGTGTAACTGAAGATTGGTGGTTAAATGGCATTATACATCTTTTTTTTGTAAAACAAACTAATGTAGCTAATATAGCTCACAAAAGATCCTCAT